TTTCTACTTCAAGTTCACTGTCTCATCTTTGAATTTAACAAATTAAGTATCCTCAAAAAGCAAATTATTTTAAGTTGCATTTCAAAAACAAGTCCTATAATCCACAAACTTAAATAACAGTTAAAATCCCTTTAATGGTATTTGATACAAAAGCCAATTCTTGGAAACTTGTAGCGATAAAGTTGAACAATTCCAAACTTCAACTGGTTCTAGGAAATTTAATTTTATAGAAAAAGCAGATGATGTTCTACTTCACCAACTCCAGCCACTCAGAACGCATAGCTGACCTGCTTCCTACCCAACGTTCTTTGACTATCAGGAAAACATATTAACTTATCTGGAAGGCTTAGGAAAAACAGTAGGATCTCTGAAGAATGACTAATGGACAACAGCAGAAGCTACTAGAAGACAAAACAGTCCAAAACACCAGTTAAACCTGACAGTCCAATTACCTTAAAGAAATAGCCTTCTTATAAAATAAAAAGTACTTTGAAGCCCCTTACTACAAGCGCAAAGGCACTGAGAAGGTAGGGCAGCATGTTTGCACCAGATGCTCCACTAGACAAAAATCCTGCTGACACAGGCCTAAGGACCCCGCTCCCATCCCCATTCCTTTGATCCCATGTCATCTTTTATGACTGCCTGTGCTTGACATGAGAAGACCGTCCTTTCATACTTAGTTCTTTCCTAGATTTTTAAAGTTTGTGAACTTCCCTAACGCAAAACTGTTCTAAAGTCAAATACACAGGCTTGGAGGATCAACATCTGAGCCGCAAGACTTCACTGCCATTTAAGTGGTGTAGCTGAAGACCACAAGACCACTTCAAAGATGACAGATCTGAGTCTTGGAACAAAGTTCTTATCTCAGAGCACTCAGGTTTTAGACCCAACCTACTCCACAGCCGGGTATTCTAACAGGGACTCTTATCTGATGCATTAGTCTTAAAAGCTCCAAGAAAGAATCCATATTAACTGCATCCTTTTATTTTCTGTTTAAAAGAATGAATGCAATACCCAAATTCCTCTTACCAAGTAAGTCAGTAGGTGTGTCTGCCTAAAACAATTTCTTCAAATTGATCCTCTTTCCTCTCTCTTTTCTAGCCACAGTAATGGAAAATTCCCAGCACTACTTAAAGAAGTATATGCACACCTACTAGAAAATAAAGATGAATGCAAAGCTTTCATCCAATGAGGAACATATAGAGACATTAAGGGCTGTCTCTCTGGAAGCTGGGAATTCAGAAGCAATAAAGGCAAAGACTGTTCAAACCTTCTGTTTCTGAATACTGGAACAGAAGAGTGTGTTTGCACATACCATTCAACAGCTTTATTGTTTTCAATGGTTCTTCAGATTGGTGAAAGTGGCAGTATCAAGAAAGAAGTGAATTTCTCCTTCATTTTCAATCAACATTATCACTGCAATAATCAAAAGCTTCAACATTACAAAGATGAATTCACCTAGGATTGCTTCTGAACGTGTTAGTAGTCAAAAAAAAAAATGAAAACCAAGCCCTTATATTAAAACAAAGCAATATAAAAGAATATGGTGATCTTCAGGGGAAACAAAAAACAACCAGGATTTTCAACCTATATTAAGCACAGAAAGGTAAACTTCTGAGTCATTCGCATGCTATTTAGGGTCACAGCACACATTTGTTGAGGATCTCCACATGATAAATAAATGCAAAGCTCAGTAAGTCAGCTCTGTCAAACAGATTTTTTTCTTCTTTACTGGAGTGACTTAAGCAGGTCACAAGTGAGAAAGCAACAGGAATAAGATTTTGTATTTTCTTGGCTCAAGTGATAAAAACATAAACCACAATATAACGTGCACAACTTAAGATTTCAAGGAAAACTCCTTCAAGCTCAACAGCAGCTAGCAGCTTGTCTCTATTTGCCATCACTCTAGATCAGAAGAGACCACATGTGCGCTTTTTTTTTTTTTCCTCCTTTCCTGCCCCTTTCAGTTACACTTGAGCTCTTTGACTGAAAAGGTCTGGAACAGATTAAAAGTCCGACCACAAAATAAAGAGCCTTGGCATGTACTCAAGCCTGTCTGGGATACACATACGCAGTGGGCCCAAAAAGGGAAGCTATGCAGCAAGAAACCCTTATGCAGTCTTTTGGACATTTCTAACTTCTTTCAGTTTAACTGCACAGTCTCAACATTTGATGGCGTTTCAGTATGCACAAGACAAGTAGCTTTTGCCCTTACAGTTAGATCATACTATTTACAGGAGTACAAAATAGTTCTGGGAAGCAAGATTCATCTCACTCATGAGCCCTGTCAATTAAAGCCTTTTCCACATGGCTTTTTAATTTCAGCTCATCACTGGAAACTATAAAGTAATGAAAGAAAAGAAAAATACATACCCTGCAAGATTACTTAAGTAAATATAACTGACCTGCCTCTTAACTGCAAAAGGCAATGCTGATTTTCAAAATGACTGCTTCCTTTTCAGCCTTATTCACATATTAAGTAATTGTGAAGTTGCAAATTACCCACACACTCCTCTTGCAACACACAAACAGGTCTGCAGCTCTGGCTGCTGTTAAAGCCAGCATGGACATTTGCCAGAGCTGACAACCTTAAATATATGCCCCACCTTTGGGCTCAAGTTGCACAGTGGTTCAACCTGTCTACACACTGGTGAGCAGTTTATAAACAAAGTGTGACAATCTGGTGTTCTCCATAAGAGCAAACGGATGTTTAGAAGTAAGCACTCCAGCCTACAAAACAAAAATGCTGAAATTTCTAACAGCCATTTCGGAAAAACAAAACAGAACAGAGACTGTTGAGTTTTGCAGCTCTGTGTTTATATGGCATTCATGGAGTTAATGCCTCTCCCAAAAGGGGCCCACAGTTGTTGTTAGGTCAACCCCTGTAAAGCTTCAAAGGCTTTGTATCCCCTCGGCCTGACCTACTCAGTGATCTGCACACTGTTTTCATTTAGTTGTATCAAGTCCAAAACTAAAGCCTGAAAACCACAACGGTCTCTTCTTTTTTTTTACCCCTACTGTTTTTTCCGCGGGTCTGGAAAAATAACTAAAATCCAAAGGAGTTGAAAATAGTAAGTTATTGGGAAAACAAATCAAGAGCAAATTAATCAAGCTAATAAAGCTTACACACACAGGTCACGGCTTTATACAAAAACCGAAGTTGTAATACCACCTTAAATACATCAGAACAATCACTTGGACAATCTAAGAAGCTAGTTTAGAATCTCGTAATATTATATGCTATTGCTATTCATAGCCATCGGTGCCAAAATTTTATTGAAATGTTTGCAGCTCTGCTCTTCATATAGATCAAAAACATTACAAAAAATGAGTTATCGGTTCTATTCTGTTAATTTTTTTACATCTAGGCCTTGTGATCCCTAATTTAAGTTACTATTTCTATTTCCAATATTGCGTAGTCTTTACCCCACAAAGAGATAATTTGAAGTAGAAACAACAAAAGTAATAATTTCTCTCCATATTGTTTAAAATAAAGTTTTGTCATGATCATCACTGTGACAAGCTCGAATTATAAGCTGGTATATGTTTCAAGAGTATTTAAACAGCATAAATTATTATTTAACAATGCCCCCTAAGTGTGAAGGAAAGTTAAGTATTTGTTTGGGAATTAAAGATTCTTCTGTGGTAAAGTTTTGCAATTTTAAAAGGGAAGAGTGAGCTTGGCTGAAACTGTCTCTAGGTAAGTAATTTCTGAATGCCATCAACGGGAACTGTACGGATCATATGGCAAAATACGAACCCCTAACATAAGAAACTGTGGTGACACACACTTCTAAAGGATATATGCTAATCTTTTTTTTTTTAAATAATGATTGAAATGAAGTCTCTGTAATTCAAATTAAAATGTATTTTAATCGTACTATAAAAAGTTTTCAAAATATGCAAAAATTAAAGCTGAGTGAACTGAAGCGAATCAAAAATTCTGAAGTGAGATGAACTTTTACCAAAGCGTGGGTCAAGCCTTGGGTCTAGCCAAGATGTGGTCTTGTTCTTATGGTTTATGTAGTAAATTTCTCCATCCTGGGTCATAGCTTGTTCCCATCCATCGGGGAGTGGGCCTGCAATATAGAAGGAAGGAGTTGATGGCGGGCTCTTGTTTGCTCCAGCTGAAATTGATCTAAAAAAATTCCAACATTTTACATATATAACAGTACATGAAACAGAAGAGTTTCAAGCTCATGTCTGACATTCCTGTGATAAGGGCAAAGAAGTGGCGGGTGGGAAACTGAAGAACAGAAAACACTTCTATCATTTTGATTGAGGATTTGGAGTATAATTTTATAACTTGCTTGCATTCTTTCATATGCTTATGACACTCCCTTTTGCTATAGCATTATAGTACAAAACCAGCAATAAGTCAAGCCTGCCAGAATGAAACCAGCATGAGCACCAGGAAAAAGAACAAGTGTAGAGATATTCTACCTCTCATGGGAAAGTTCATCTAGTGATTAAGTTCCAGCAGCAGCAACAAGGTAACACTGATGAGATCCTGAAACATTATTCCGTCTTTCACAAACAATTAAAAAAGAGTGACAAAACTAATTTTCCTTTTATCTCATACCATAGCTTTCTGTGACAGCGTTAAAGACTTAAGCAAGCAAAAACACAAACCTGAGGAACAGGAGGCAAACGAGCAGTGACAAAGCAAAGATAAGAAAACACCAGGAGCAGACAGAGACACACAGTGCTACGAACGGCAGTGCTACGCCTCTATGAGCGGGAAAGCACAGGCAGGGAAAGCTACATTTAGGAAATGGTAAAATGGAGGTAGGTGATGATGTTCTGGAGTCCATAGCTAATGTCTGAACACAGCGTCCTGAGGCGTGTTTACCTTACGTTCCAAATAGCAGCTTTTGAGAAAACCACCCTTCATCACTATACAGTTCATAAACCACTCATTCCCATCTCTGTATGATCATATACATTCATCTGTACATATTTTGCTCAGACTGAAAGCTACTCTTAAAGGTACATTCATCTCATCTTATCTGGCAGGTGCTTTACAAATGTGTTTCTACTCACACAGATATGGGCTTTTAAAAACATCTAAATTAGATACAGGAAGACCTTGCCTGTATTCTTTAGATTTAAGTACAATCCTAAGACGATATAGCAAAAGATCCACTACAAATGTTAAGAATGTAAAAGAAATTAGAACAAGATCTGCTTCAGGAACTCATCATATTTCAACCTCTCCTTCCACTCTTCCTCAGTGTAATATAGTAATACACTAGCAAAAGCCATCTGGCTGGTAGGCTTAGACTAACAGACCATTCTGTATAATGTAAGATACATTAAGTATGCACAAACATCATCATTTCACACAAGATATTCAGATATACAGACAAAAATACATATCTGAAATGACTGAAGTATTTACTACATCCATGTTCAAACTACACTAGCTCTTTGCCTGTCATTTTGTCCTAAAGTCATGCCTCTGCTGAAGGATTCATTGTCTAAAGCTAGCGGGGGAGAGGGGGGTGAAAGGATATATTTGTTTGCTTAATCTTAAAAGATACTCTTGGAGAAACACAAAAACAGTAAAATAATCATTTGATTGCATACCAGTAATATCACAAGGCATAACTAGGACAAGAATTTCTTACTGTGGTCTTTGAAGGTCCCCTGCAAACTACACTTCTAATTTAAACTCTTTCTTTTTGGTTCAGAGAACTATGCCTTCCTTTAGCAACCTCACTATACCACTAGAGATACAGATTTTCGAGTGAGGAAAAACAGTGATCTAACCATTGGACATTTCCTTCCCATCCTCAATGCTCACAAGCTTTAAATGCTGCATACAAGTAACAGGAGTACCTCAGCTTTTACTAGGGGCTAGTGAACAAAACAGTCAAGAAAGAGTGACAACACTGTAAAACATTCATAAATCCTAACATATTCACAGTATAATAGCACTTCAACACAGAACTGAAAGCTCAAGTGCAGACCCCTGTACTTTGTTACCATAGCCAAAGACCATCCAGCTAATCGGCGAGATGCTATTTTATAAGACTGGGGCAACTGGAGCACATCGACACGTCCCACATCATCCAAGTGTAGAAGCCAATGAAGAACACAAAACATTCCCTGACTGCTAAGCCAACACGCTAGCCATGTGAGCAGACCTTCTCACTACCATTCTCCTCAGAGTCCTTCTAAACCACACATCCCTCGGAGATGAAAATCAGCAAGAAATTATCTTTTGAACTGCAAAGCCAAAAAACCCAGCCGGCTCTAGGAAAAACAAAACTAGGCTTGGGGTGTCAGTCCTGCTGAAGGTGTATACTGGGCCAGCATGCTCCTTTGTAGTAAATAAGAATAAACGCCTTTGAAGCGTGATGCCAGGAGCTGATCAGTCCACCTACCTCGTGGAACAATACTGTTTGAGATTCAGTGATCTGATGAGTACTAGGTTACTAGAGACAAACTTGGGCAAGGTTCTCTTTCTAAATAAAATGCACAGCTGTGGACAGGACAGGAAAGGTCTGTCTGCTCACCCAGCTGTCAGAGCAGCAAGCCTTCCTTGCTAAGTGCCACCAAACAGAATTCTTCCCTCTAGAAACTTCTGGCATTAATCACGATGTTGCTGTACTTCTCGGCCAGTAAACTGCTCTCATGTTTCTGCCGTCATCTCTACATGTTGAAATGGTAGTTTAAAAATTGATTAGTACTGCTTTCTGTAATTCCTATTCGGTTTTGTGAGCAGTTGTGAAACCAGAAGACTGTCAGGTCTGATTTTGTAACTGGCTGTCTGAAACTCTGTATTAGATAGAAGAGGCAAAGGAAAAACGGAAAACCACGGTGAAGAACAGCAGACACATTCACTCAGAGCATCTAGGAAAATTCCTCTGCAATTACACGTCACTCTTCCCCCAAAAGGCTCAATAGGAACAGAATTCCCAGAACTAATTTATATTTTTAAGTGACTTGAGCTATATAAGCTCTATATTACTGCTCTACAGACCTTCTCACGAAAATTTCCATAGTTACTGTAGCCCATGCTGTATAAAACCAGCCATGCTGGGTCTGACCAAAGGTCCATTCAGCCCAAGCACCTAACCTGGAGTGATGGACAGATCTTGTTGCTGAAAGCAGCCTGTTTAGTGACTGTCACACTCTATAAACTTTTAAATAAAGCACTGAATATACATATAGACCCAGAAAGTATAGTGGCTATGAATAGTCACTTGGCCTCCAAGTACCTGAGGTGATTTCTTGAGCCAGCTTGTCTACTCAAGAGGTGCCAAAAGATCTCTCTCTCAAGTATTTTTCAAGTCTCCTCTTGAATCTTTGTAAACATTTAGCACCAACAATCCCTGTGGCACCGTCTCCTACTAGCTCTGTTTGGTGCCTCCTAGGTCAATTGAACACAATCACAAACATAAGTTTACAATTCTATCAAATTATTTGCACAGGGAGAGACAACTTTTCTAGGAATCTCACCGTTTACTGTGGTACTTTTTAAGACAACGTTATCCAAAAAATGAGATTCCAATTTCCAAATGTAAGCCATCCTTATAGAACTCTGATAAGGCATACCGCTGTAACTAAGTATTTATATAATGGTGTAACCTCACATAAATACCAGTAATTTTCAAAGTCTGTGTACACGTTTGTTTGGTACGTGTCTCCTTTTTGTGAGTTTTTAGTTTCTCGTATACCATGAAACGCAGTCCTGAACACAAAGCAGAGCTCACTGCTGGCAGATAGAAAGCAACAGGAAGAGTAACAAAAGCAAAAATATAGCAGAGATTCAAGCTATGCTGGGATACAAAGCAAATCTTCAAAAGTTCCTACAGTTTCTGATATTTAACCGTAAAATAAATGTAAATAAAGCTGTGTTTTATCAAAAGGTTAATGAATACTAGAGGGCATCTGTATCTAGATATTAAAAGAATATTCATGGACAAGCTAGGAACAGAAACACCTATGTTCAACAGC